GTGTGTGTGTGTGTGTGTGTGTGTATAGATCATTACCAGCACTGTTGTACCATTTACTTAATAATTAAAATTACCTTGTCAACACCATCAGGTTTCACAACTGTGATGATTTTCATGAAGATTCCAATCAGCATACGGATGTTAGTAATCACTGTGTTCTCCAAATTCTTGTTAGTGGGCAAGTACAGAATGGTTCCAAGATCATTAAGGTAATTGAGGACATGGATGATGTTTTCTTCGTTAACATCACATTCCACAGCAATCTTCTTGATCTAGAATGAGGAATTCATTTTGCAACGCTTGTCTCACAATAGCATCAAACAAAAAACAGTTAAAATAATTAAATAAATTCAAATCGGAATTCACAATAATTAGAGTTGTCTAATAATATTAGAAAGCATTCGATACCTTATCAATTGACATGCGCAGTGCTGTTTTCCCAACGTCTTGTAGCTTAATTTTGAATTCAACCCAATTCAAGGGAACAGTTCTTGCCATTGAATTCATGTAGCTACCTACGTTTTTTTTCAGACTTTTAATCCCATCATCAAATTTTGCAGTGTTATCTACAGCATACATATGGCGGTCAACATGCCTCTCATATGGAGTTCCTTATATTTCCTTAAATATTGTCTTGAATATGTCTGTAATCTAAAAAGAATTGTATATTTTAATAATTTTTTATTATAGAATTTCTGAAATATCAGAATCCAACTAAAAACATAAATATCTTACCTTTGTCAGCTTCTCAGCATCAGTACCTGTTAATAGGTCCTTGTGCGTCCCAATCAGACTAATCGGCGGTGATGCTATCACTCCATTGATCAACGTCTCCTTTGAGCCATGTAGCAGTACTGCGTGTTCATATATTGACCTTATAAAAAATAAGATCATTTGGAGATTGGTCATCTCAAAGTGTTTCTGAAATTAAAGCCAAAAACAGCCACAACATTTACCAAAGTGAATGCAGAATGTAAAATCTAAGATAATACAATTGACATAATTGTTGTCTCTCAATGTTACTCAGCTTTCAGAAACACTCCTTCAGCGTGACCACTCACAATTTTTGATATACCCAAATGACTGGGTCGAAATTACCCAAGATTCAGCAAAAATTGCCCAAAATTACCCAAGCTTCCTGAAAATGCATTAAAATGTGAAAAAAAACGTGTTTTTCGCATGTATAGTTTCCCTTTTAGTTCATTTTATAAACCATTTTTTATTGTAATTGTTTGTGTTAATTATTAAAATTAATATTCATGAGGTGATAATACAGATAGAAAAATACGCTCTTAGTCGGCCAGTGTTATCAGTAGATCAGTGATCAAGTTTTATTATGTAATGCATTAATTAAGTAAGATCAATGGCAACGCAAATCACAAATACACAATTCTGAACCCATGTTTATAGCAATCAGTCAATTAACAATGTTATGTGCACTTCGTTGAGTTTTGCTTACTTGAATGGACTGACATATACTTTGTTACTTCTTAATTCTTCCTCTGTGACAATAATATTTAATTTTCTTAGTAAAAATAAAATACCCAAGGATTTCAACGGAATACCCAAGAACCCAAGACCAAGTCAAAATACCCAAGATCTTGGGTAAATACCCAAGCAGTGGTCACACTGCACTCCTTCCTCCTAAACAAATAATGACTTACTACTTCTTCATCCGATCTCCTTGACCTTCTCCAAGGTGCTGCTCTCCAAACTCGCAAAAAAAAATTAACTTTATGGGAATCTCTTGGTTTTGCCATTTTATGCAAATCATCAAACAAACTAAAGACTACTCCGTACGATGACCCATCTGTAAGGAAGAACTGAAAACAAAGATAGAAAATGTGCAATGAATACAAAATATAAACAAAACACAAAATGGCAAATAAGAAAACAGATTCTGCAAAGACTAACTGGCTTCCAAAACACTATCGACGACAGTCGTCGGCAACTGTCGGTAGAGGTCGCTCGATATCGCTAACACGCCGGCGTACTACCATGAATGTATAAAAATAAAATAATACATAAAAAATAAAATATATATTTTATACCTTTATCCATGGTATTACTGACTAGCCAGGCAAGGTCTAGAAAATATATTTCGGGCCGAAATTGCTTCTGTAAGGCCTTAGGCTAGGATACCTTTGACATCGTAAAATTTAGTCTATTTTTGTCAAGTTACCGTAAATCTTTAAATAACAGCCAATCTCGAAATAGCGCCGCAACGACGTGATTTTTTTTTTCCCGCCAACCGCTGCTCTCAAATAAGCGTCGCACCGAAGCCTCTATTATAAGCGCCGCGGCGCTTATTCGGGATTTACGGTACGTTATTCATCAGACAACTCATCGGTTGAACAACTAGGCCAATGAATCGAGGGCCTTTCTGAATGCGTCGACGACAGCTGTGGGTATGCAGAGTACTAGCCATAGTACCAAAACGCGGTTTTATAAACGCATGTTGATCCAAATAGAGGACATGTCTGTGATCAGGTAAAAAAAAATTATAAATAAATAAATAAATTAATATTTGAATCATTTACTTTGAAAATTAGATGCCGGTACTAAAATAATAATTTCTTTCGTAAAATAAATAATACGATTCCAATATTCGTTGCATAGACTTAATGAAATAAAAATTGGATGAAATTATTATTTTCGTATGAAACAAAAGTAAACCAGCAAATACGATATGTGTATCAATTTAAATCATGTTTTCTTCTTTCATTCCAGTAATTCAATATTTTAATAGGCTTTGTTGTGATAGTCTTTCATCGGGTTTTACTAGACATTAATGTTTATATCTTTAGATAAAGAGACCACTTCACACAATTTCTGTAAAATATCCCAAGAAAAGTAATTTTAAAAATATTTGAGTTCAATTAATTAACACTTACGCGATGAGTGATATAATAATCAAGCTGACCGGCGTAGTCCCATATGCAAGTTACATCCATCGGTCCAGTACTCTTGGTAACCATATTTTCTAATACTTTCTCATGTCGGACAAGCTGATTGGTCGCTAATCCCGTGTACTGAGATACAGGTTTTTCTATAAACACATGAAAACAAACTTTCATATCAATAGTGATAAGTGTGAACATAAATCAAATTGTAATTTATTGAGGTGGTGATGATGTGTTATGATGGCATGCTGATGAATAATGTATGCATTTTAGGAACATGGCGGTGGTGGTGATGATGATGGTAAAGGTAAGTGGCGGTGATGGCTGTAAAAATAATGTTTTGATAATTATGATGATAAATGTTCATAGGGATGATAATGTTGATGATGACGATATCATAATGAAGATGGTGAGATGATGGATGATGACGATGATGATAGTGATGATGATCATGGTGATGATGATGATGACGACAATGACGATGATCACGATGGTGGTGATGATAATTTCGATGATGATGTTGGTGGTGGAATGGCTATAGTGGTAGTGATGATGATGTCCTATATGGACATAATGTACGGTAGTGTATAATTTAAATACCTTTGGTTATCTCTGCTTCTGACTGTTCAACCTGAAAAGTAAATATAAATTTCGCAAATGTTAATACCCTAGGAGTAAGACCAGGTTTTGTATGCACTTTAAGGGTCAGAGAATTTGACCTCAGAAATTGGGTCAGGGCGGTCCAAGAATCATTTTTGGCTTAATAACACATTTTCAAAATGTGGCGAAAGGTCGAAAGGTCAGGGTCAAACATCATAATAATAATCTCCGCAACAACTGGTTTAAAACCAGAGCCTTGCAGGCGTCAACGTTCCTATGCATGATACACGACTTTTAGAAGTATATATACGTGTATGTATATATATATATATATATATATATATATACATATATGTATATATATACGTATATAT